AATTTAATTTAATGAATTTAATTTGATTAATCAATTTAATTAACAGCCAACCCTTCTCAAATGTACAGAAGGGAGGGATGATGATGCCGTAAATACGCATTAGAGGAGTATCAAACTTACACGCAAAAGATCTTGAGAAAAAAATTACCAAATGTCTATTTATTTATTAGTGTTATTGTTATTATCATTATTATTCATTAATGAAATGAATAAAAATTTAATTGATCATATTTTATCTCTGAGAATACACCCGCACATCCGCGAGATCAGGAATAATCGTAAATTCAACGAATACCCCGATACAAATCATATAGGCAATGTACAGTTTACTTAATAGCAATAGCACGATAGCGTAGTGGTTAGGGCATGGGATTAGCAATCATAAAGTCCCCGGTTCGATCCCCAACATCGGTAAAAAAATAAGCTTTTTCAGAGGTAATAACAGTAGAGATTCATTAAGAGATACGGCCTACGGTGAAAGAATTGAATTATCTTTTGTTTTGGAATAATTATCATTGATAATTGTTATTGATACTGACAGACAAGTCCTCCGGTTTTCATACAGTTGACTTGATCAAGTTCGGATCCATTCGTCCTGATCAAATCCGGATTGGTCAGAGGCGTAACATGTCTGATCAAGACCGGATCCGTCCACTTGATCAAGACCTGCCCGGAATTTCCACTCGGGTAACTAAGGCGAAGTTGGGAGAAGTTTTCTTGTGAAAAGTTGGGAAACTACTTGTCCCAAGTACTTTTCATGTCCTTGGGTGAAGTACAATATTTGCTAAGCAAGTAGGAAAAGTACTAGGAGGAAGTACTTTTATTACTTCCTGTCAGCATTTTTCTTACTTCTCACAAGTACTTTTAATGCTTGGAGCAAGTAATTTTTCTACTTCTCGCGAGTACTTTTATGACTTGATTCCAGTACTTTTGGTTGGTTATTTTGTTGGGGAATTTCATATCATTAATTATCATTCTCATTATCGTTCTCATTATCATTATCATTATCATTCTCAGATGACAATGACCAAATTTCATCGAGGGGAGGTTACGATGAGTTTAAAAATCGCGAGATATTGCAGTAAGATTTATCACACATTGATGATTGATTATTTATATATGTTGAAAGACGAAGAATAAGTG